GTGGCGGCGAGCTGCCGGGCCCCGTCTACCGCTGCCTCTCCTCCCTTTGCAGCAATACGCGCCGTCCGTCTTCGAGAAATATACTACCAGCGTTACGGTGGGCAAAAAGGAGGTCACCCTGAATTTGTACGATACCGCAGGTAAGGTTTTTTTCTTCCACACACTCTGTTTTCTCGATCCCAAAACGACGAGAGGCGTTTTCTGTGCGGGCGCTGGCGCGGGAGCGGGCTGAGGCACTGGCCTGGGAGCGAGCCCTCACCCAGCCCCTGGGCTTGCCTCGCTTCAGACAAACGAGCATAAACTGCTTTTACCGGTGTAAAATGTTGCTCCTGTGAACGTACCTGTATTTCTGTTCCAGCAGCTTCTGCTGTGTCAGCCCAGACTGATCCTAGAACGCCATACAGCTGTGCATATTTTCAGATCACTTTTCCGCTAGCATACCTTTAGCGTAGTATCGCAGGTGAGGCTGCTGGAGATTAAAGTACAAACAAGACAACCACCGTTACCCGCTGCACGCGTAACTCTGCCCGCCAGGAAAAAAGGGTCACTCGTCTAATGACAGTTCTAGCCATGGACTTGTTCATTATCTTAACAACATGGTTTATTAAGAAAATCACATCAAATAGTGAACATGTCTGAAGGTATTAAAACCCAGTTCCCAGATGCAAAGCATAATACAGTCAACCAGGAAATATTTTAATCTCCTGCCATGTGTGATCAAAAAGTGAAGGAGAAAGAGGCTGGTTTGTGTTCAAAATAAAACGGCCTTAGTGGTAAAAGTTACTTGAAAGTGCTGGTAGTTCGTTCGGGTTCATTTCAGGAACTTGTGAAATGGTTTGTGTTCAACTTCATTCAAAGTTCCTAGGCTGTTATCCAGCTGCGTTCTGAAATGAACCCTGAATCTGACACGTGCTCAGTTTCAGCTCAGTGTAAATCATCTGTTTCAGTTCAAGCCCGTAGAGTTGTTCTGAATTTACACCAAGACAAATAAGAACTGAATGCAATCCATATTTGGTTTATTCATAGTAATAAGCCACATTTACCTTCTTGCATACTGTACATGACACCTGAATAGATGATTTTAAAGGCCTTTCATCTAAAATTGCTAATCTTTACTGCATTATAGTAAGATCCTGAGCACGCAATTTGCCAATACATCCTCTCGTGTCGATGTTACTCTTTGAGTCCAGTGATTTGGATAACATAGCTTCCACTGAACGGAAAGGCTTTTGTGTTCAAGTCTTAAAGGAAAAGAAGAGGGCTTTCCTTAACATAGTGTGTTGGCACAAAGAACTTGACACAGTGAACTTGTTGAGTTTTCATGTTTTTTCACTGTTGGTGTGGAATTTTTGCCTGTCACACAATTCCTGATACTTGGCCTGTTCTCATTTAAAATCACCATGCTGCAGCTTCCAACATATACCTTTGTAGTCTCTTCCAGGCTTTCAGGAACATGGTTTGGATGCAGAAATGGTGGTAGGTAGGGCAAATTCAGTATTGCAGCACTCTTGCAAGCCTGACAGAAGTGCCCAGCTCCTTGCGTCACGCGGGCAGTTCAGCTCTGCACAAGACCTACAGCTGCCAGCAGCCCGGAGGGTGCTTGCTGAACCCCATGCTGGTGGCTTATCGTACCCTGTTTTCTTGTTCAGGCATGCAACTTCAGCAGAAAACATCTACCCTTCCATACTTAGTTCACAACTCTTAAGTGCTGTCTTGGACCAAAGCGCTGCCCCACTGTGGGACGTATTTTGTGTCTCATAAGGCACTTAGGGAAGTGGAGATGCTGTTGTTGTCTAGTTGGCAGAGCACTTTGTCGTACAGAGCAATTGCTCTTTCATCTTACATCTGGAAACCTTGGAAACCCAACGTTTCACCTGCCAAAACAATGTTGTGGCCACTGCGCTACAAGTTGCTAGAGGCTGCTGATGCTTGTTTCCTCCCTTCCTGGTCAATTGAATCTGCTTTGCATGAGACACATCAAGATTATCGGGTGCAAAGAAAAGGGTGGAGGAAAGACTTGCGTTTTGGTTCTGTTTCAAAGCTGCTTGTGTAGTTTTATGTTACAGACCTGTGTCATGCTCTCTAATTCAAGCAGCTTTTCCTCTTCTTTCTGAAGCTGGAAGTTATGCTAGAGGAAGAACTCACGTGAGCAGACATTTTAATCCCATCCTGTTTTCAGTAATGCAAAACTGATGTTGATTTTCCTAAGGGTTAGACTAGGACCAAGAGTTGCGTGCTGTCCTCTAAGTTCAGATAGTGCAGTAAAAGAAGAGCAAGGGGAGTGTCCAGTTCAGAAGATGAGAGCTCCTGCCCCTCTGCCACCTGGATGCAGCATGGGAGATCCAGTTTTGGAATCAGTGTTTCACTAGGTTGACTTGCTCCTGTTGCATCAGGCAGCAGCAGCTCCTTAAATTGCGCTCTCAGCTGGGTGATGGTGCTCTAGAGTAGGTGTACAGCAGCAACTGCAGCTTAAAGAGGAGTCTAAACACAACTTATTGCTGGAAGTACAGTGGTTTAACAGTGCAGCCTATTTGCCATGTCTCGTATGAATCATCTTCTGACTAACTGAACTGCTTGAGTTGGTCTTGCTCTTCTCTAAAACCCCAAGACAGCTTTATGCTTGTCGTTCTGAAAGGTTCCCAAATCATTCTGATTATCAGAAAATCACTTAAATGGCATCAAAAGGATGTAAAACCATCTGTGAAGGTCTCCAGCAGAGTGCCATGTAGCAGTGTAAGGGAGGAAAAGGCAAAGCTGTTGTTTGGAAAAGTGTCACTGGATCTTTGTGATGCACCCACTGCAGAAAGGACTTGGGTATTTTTAGGAATATAGATAGATCTGCCTGTACTTCAGCATCATGGGAAGGTGAAGGACAGATTCAGCTCCGTGGGCTGTTTAAAGTCAGAAGGATGCTCTGTATGTCAGGTCCTGTGCAGTCTGACACTTTGAGCTTGTCCTGCTTACTGAAGGAGGACACAAACAAAGTGCCTGACAGACAGTTCAAGCTACAAAAGCTATTTTTTTCCCTTGGCAAGAATTTTGCTAACAAATGAAGTTAATGAGTTGGACTAAAATATGCTAGAATAGCAATTTTTGTGAGACTTCTGTACTATGCTACTGTATCTTCCTCATCAGAGACACCTTGCTGTTGCAGGAAGTTGGTGGTATACATACGCAATGTGTAAAGGCGGTGTAATACCACTTCTCTCGTCTGCAAACAGGCCTTGCAGCTGCTTAGCCAATTAAAAGTTTCTGTTTCTTGCTGTGCTCGATAGAGGCAAAGGCATTGAGAGGTAAATTCACTGATTTTTTTACCTGCTGAGGGAGCAGCGCTGATGCTTTAGCTGCGGCTCAGACACACGGTTCAATTCCTGACGCTGTTTGGTTCAGGGCTTTCTGAAAGCAAGAGCTCCGCTGGGCTGGGGAAGGCTGGGGAGGAAGTAATGCCTCATCATTGCGGGTGCTCACTCTGACGGGCAGGAAGCACATGCGGAGCCTCTGGTGGGGTTTTTCAGGTCTGTAGTGACAGTTGCACGGCAGTCTGAGGCCTGAAGAAAAAAGCCAGAGGGTGTGCCCGAAGAAGACCAAAAAAAGCATGCTGCCCACCTCAAGTGTTTTCTTCTTCCAGTTTTATCCTGCCAAAAATGTCCCAACTTTTTTTTAAACTGAGTAGTGCAAAAGCACAGCTGCCAAGCTGTGACCATGGTATTCCCATGGAGCCTGCAGAATCACACATCAGAGTGCGTTTCTGTGTGCTGGCGAGAGCTCGCCATCGCACGGCTGCGTGTCCATCCCAAACCACGAGTGTGGAGTGTTGCAGACAGCACGTGGCCACACGTAGGAAGCGGTCAGCGGGTCTGGACGAGGTGGCAGGATATTACATTCTTCCTTGCCCACTGGCGGTCGGGGACGGTGCTGGTGGTAGGCTCCTAGGCAAGTCTTGGCTATCGTTTACCCTCTCCTGTCAACGGCAGTAGGCACTGAGCTCCTTTACAGACTGAGCAACGCACAGGGCTGAGGAAGAGCAGACAGAGGTGACCGTGCACACGAGTCCGAGACCTGTGGTTCTCCCTCAGCCATCACCCGAGGTCCCACCCTGCCGTAGAGCCCGACTGCAGTGATGTGGTTACGCAGCATGTCGCAGAGGGATGCACGACTGTGATCTTTGTGAAGAATTGACAAATTTTAGGTGCATTCTGCTGGATGGTGGTGTTTTCTTTTAAAAAACAAACAGGCCTGATGCTACAGTGGACTGAGGAAGGCAGAGGAGTTACAGATGCTCACACATAGACATGTATTTAACTCATTCTTCCACAGCATGCTTTTTGTTAACTGGGGAAAGAAAACAGCTACCTGTGCTTGAGGAAGCACACTCGGGCTTTGCAGATACATCCAGTTACTGCTTGAGTTCAGCCCTGATCCTTCATTTTAAAACTCTTCTACTAAAAGAACTAAATATGTGCCAAATTAGCTCTGACCACAGACTGAGCAGCTTTACAGAGAAAAAGTCTCCCAGGCCCTTCCATTTCATCAGCAGCACTTAAGGACAGGGGGTGAAAGGGGTGGTTTTCAGTGAGAGGGATGTTGATGTTTATAGACACTGACAGCTTGATCTGGGTCCTGTTACATCTTCAGCAACTGCAGAACTGTGTCTGAGCTCTTAAAGAATAGCTGCTTCTCCTTCCAAGCGAGCGCTGCAATCCTCCGACCGTAATACAAGTTAAGCAATTACCATCTAACCTCCCCCGCCGTGGTTTCTGAGCTATACCTTGTTCTGTGCTCTGTATCTGAAGTTCCAATTATGCATGGAGCTGCATTTTACACAGCAGTCTTTTCTCATGCATTTATTTTCTCAGTTTGCTTAAAAAAACCCAGACACATAACTGTACAGCCGGTTTTGAAGATGCAGGTGCACTTCACTGGGGCGCAGCTATAGGTTTTGACTTGCAATACAGCTTATGTGGATCAAACCACTGGAAACCTCTCTTTTGTTGCCCCATCCAGTGTGGTTTTAGCAGTATGTTCCGATTCCAGGCAAACTAGTGTCTTTCTTCCAAGGGCAGAGTCCTGTCTGCCTCACAAGTTGCCAGTAATAACTTCGAGGACCTTTTGATTTTACGAACTACCTTGTTAACAGGCTTGTGCTCAAACATAACACTAGAGGAAATTAAGAGGAGAGGAAAAAAGTTTGGCACCTGATACTTTAATGCATTTAGAGGATTATCTCAACAACAAAACTGTAAATCGACTGCAAACAAGTAGGTAGATTTGGGAGAATAAAAAGGGCTAAGCAGTAGAGTCTTTGCTCTGACTGTTTATACAAAATGCAGAATTTTGTCAATTGTCTATTATTTCTGGATTAAACCTTGAGGGATTAATCCTTCTTTGTTCTACATCTCACCCACAGAGCACGCTGCTCTTGCAGAAGCCCAAATACAGAGCGATCTGAACCTAAGATTCCTGTTTTACAAACACCTTGGGTAAACTGAATAATGGCTTATCCAATCCAGTAGGGATTGCCGTGAATAACCTGTACCTTGATCCATCATTTAAATTAAGGAGGGGGGGGCAAAGTATTGTAGAATTATTGGCCTTCTGGTATCTCAGTTCTTCAGATGGCAGCTGGAGACAAGCACGTTGGCTAGGGTGATGAGTATGTGACTTGGGGCTGAGCCAGGTGCCCGGGCAGGAAGAGCTGGGATGAAGTTGGGGCGCGCTGACATTTTCAGCATCCCTTCGTTTGAAATATCAATACAGAGATTTGAGATGTGTAACTTCCCTGGAGGGCAGTTTCTGGGCTCTGTGCACATTGTGGTGATTGTGGGAAGGAATGGCATTGCCAGTTCTCGTTTTGGAAATCCGGTGCATCACAGAGATGCACCCAGGGGCAGCATGCAGGTGGCAAATAGGTCTTCTACAGGCTGCTGAAACCAGGGGTTCTTCCTTATTAGGTCTCTGAAAAAAATCTCAAATGAAAAAGATTGGGTTTTTTTCCTGAGCTGCCAGCTGTGTCTGGTAATCAATTGAACTTAGTCTCTCAAAGCAAGACACCCTCAGACCCCGGCACGGCGATTGCTGCTAAGTCATACGTACAGCAAGGGGAAGAGTACGGGTCAGAAGCGAATCAGCTTCCTCTTGTCAGATCACGTGCTAGAATGTCCCTGATCAGAAATACAGAAAATCCCCTGCTTTTCCAGAATTCAGCTGCATCGCTAAGATCTGCTGTGTAGTCCTGCTCCAAACACCGCTTCAGCCTGGCTCACGCTGCAGCGTCTTACAAAATCACGTGCGTGCTGCTGCAGCGAGCAGCAGTGCGAAAGGCACAGTGTGCTAACTGCTTGCTGGGCTGGGAAGAGCAAGTTTGCCTCCAAGATTTGTGCTTTGGCGTTGGCGTCTAGCAAACACGGCGTTTCATCTCCTCACAGCATCGCGTGTGCAGATGTCTTGGGGAGAGTGGAACCCCTGCCAAAGCGCGGGTGTTTTAATCGATAACTGTCAAATTCCTCTTGCTGATTTTGCTTGTGAGCAGCAGCTTGGCAATCAGCGATCAGAGCTGCTTCTAAGTGCTCAGCAGTTGGACAAAGCAGGCTTTTTTGTTAAAACTTGCCAAGGGCATGTTTTATATTCTAAAGCGTTGGGTTTGTCAGTGAAGAGGGATCTCCTACATTTAAGGGAAGGAATTTTACAGGTATGGAAAACTTTCAGTCTATGCAATTATAGTCCCATTGTTCTTGATCTCTAGTAGGTATCTTTTCATATCCCCATCATAATACTTGTTAAAGACAGACTTCTTTTATCCAAAACGTTCTCTGTGTTTCAGGGCAGGAGGACTACGACCGGCTACGACCTCTTTCTTACCAGAACACAAACGTCATCTTAATTTGTTACGATGTCATGAACCCCACTAGCTACGATAACGTATCAGCTAAGGTAAGAGGCTTCCATAATTGCTTCACCCTTTTCAATGAATTACATTGAACAACATATGCCTGTGAACAACAGGACATCGGATTAAAAAAGCCGACACTTACAGTGTCCTGTACCCGGGGCGTGTAGGTCACTCATCGTGCACGGAGCTGCAGGTCACAGCCAGACCTGGGGTTCACCTCTCCACGGCTCGTAAGTGCTCAGGACCAGGGATGGCTCTAAAATATGCTAATGTGATGACAAACCAGCGGTGAAATCGCTGCTTTATCTGTAGCGGTATCACACAGCCAACATGGCACACATCACCTCCATATTTAACTGCAGGGGAGACACGCACAGCAACCGCCTGTCTGCGCTAGGATTTCTGTAAAGCTCCAAAGCAGGAGTTAACATTCCTGTACGTAGCACCAGCAAAACAAAGCAAGGCTTGGTCCAAATTCTGCTCTTAAATATGACTTTAGAGGAGCTCTTCTGAATTTAAACAGACATTCAGTAAGCACTTTGGCATAGCGACAGACACCACTTGTTTTTATAAAGCAACTGACTTTGGGTAGGACTTGTAAACGTTTCTGTAACGTAAAGAGAGCATGTTGGGCACCAGCCACTGTATTAGAAATGGCAGCATATAGTAAATGCTGGTTCTGTTCCTTGGATTTATGGTTTTGATTTCAGGGGGAAAAAAAAAAGCCCCATTTAAAAGTTGTTTTTCTACCATCAGTGGTATCCTGAAGTGAATCACTTCTGCCGAGGTGTGCCGCTCGTGCTGATCGGCTGCAAGACAGACCTGAGGAAAGACAAAGAACAGCTGCGCAAACTCAAGGCTTCAAAGCAGGAACCCGTTACTTACAACCAGGTAAATGCAACTGCATTTAAAGTGGTGTGCTCTTTGCAGGAGATACAGCACGCTTCCTTCAGTGGCATCATTGCTCGCAACTGCCATCACAGATACCCCCAGATTAGGTCATCACAGTGTCCAGATAAAGCAGTTATTGACAGCACTAACAGGGTTTCTGCAAGTCCTTTTTTGAAGTGGCCAAATCACGACCCGTTTTTAGTACCAAAGCAGAAGTTTGAAGAGTGCCTTGGGGTGTCTGGAAGGACACTACTAGCTACACCTTCTGGGCCCGTTACATCTCCTTCTTGTTCCCTTTCACAACTGGGTTATTCCTGTGATGAATTTGTAAGCCTTGACAAGTTTGTTGGACTCCCTTAATAGTTTTTATTAGGATACATTGCTCCCATCACTGGTTCTTTGATCAGGGTTGTGAGAAGGAGTGGAGATGCTAGGATACACATTAAAGGATTACAAATACTGACTGTTCTGGAAAAAATGTGTTTTGCAAACCCTATTTAAAAATAAATCCTTTCAAGGACAATAGCAAAAACATCTGCTAGGCTTTTCTAACATAAGAGGCTCTTCTTTGAAGTCTCTAAAGTAATCATAAAAAAAAAAAAAATCTACATATTATCAAATGTTTTTAAGTATTACAAAGCAGCGAGGCTTACAACTAGTGTTACAAGACCCACACAGCTGTCCTAGGTAGAAGAGAAACAGCCAGTGGTGGAACAGCTTGTCCCATGTCACGCTAGACCTTTTTAACTACAAAGCCATCCTTTTCCTCTCATCTCAGCAAGAACAGCAGCTTTCGAACCATTTGAGACACAAATCCAGGGAGCAAGGTTAAGCGCACTCAGACCTCAAATGAATCCCTTCTTTTTCTAAAGTAGTGTGAAAAGAAACTGCAACTGCATCACCACTCAGCCATGCTGGGACTTTTAGCTTGCACACGAGATGAGATGCCTTGTCCTGTCGCTTTGTGAACAGCAGCAGATTGTCCCTCATTTGCATCAGTAACTTCCTTCGTCACCTTCCCATATGAGGTTTAGGGCAAGCAACAGACACTTTTGGCAAGTCTGCTGAGGCCTCATGCAATTAAATTCCAGGGCTTGCATAATGTACAAACTTCGTCTCCTATGTGGGCCCTCCCGCTTGGTTTTTCTCCCCTTAAATATATGCTACCTCAGTCTTTTGCAGCTGATGGCATCTTGGGTCACACGACGTGATGCTTCCAATGCCAGGCACAGAGGAGCTGAACAGTATCTGCCAGCACTGCAGCTTGCAAACAACTGGAAGGAGACAAACTTCGCTTAAATATGCTGAAGGAAAAAAACGCTGTAGAAGCCTGAGTGCTCAAGGGACCCCGCTCCCAGGGCTTACAATGAATAAACGCAGAGTCTGTGAGCTGTGGGTTGCAGGCCTGGAATTCACACTCCATGGCTCTCACACAGTCAAAACTGGGGGCTGACTCTGCAATGACAGTAAAAGGATCACAAGCAAAGTAAGAAATCACTGTGTTTTGTCTGTGGTGATTTCGTGCAACCAGGACTGCATGCACATGCTTTAGATTCTGGTCTGTTCCCATTGCATGCATTTGGGTGAGGCTGAGAAACACAGGCACCCAGTCGTGTATACAAGGGTGCTGAGCCCTTGTGATGCTCCAGAGCTAAAGTCAGGGCTCCTGCATGTGCACCAACAAAACAAGGCAAGACGTTGGTCCAGACTCTGCTCTTGCATGTGACATTCATTAATAAAGGTTGCATCACATGATAGTTAAGGTCAGGCCTG